TTCTTTCTTTCTTTCTTTCTTTCTTTCTTTCTTTCTTTCTTTCTTTCTTTCTTTCTTTCTTTCTTTCTTTCTTTCTTTCTTTCTTTCTTTCTTATCAGATTTGTGTAGCCACTCATCTCACATCACTCTGGGCAGCATTAAATAACTGAACAACAACAAATATAAAAGTGAGAAATATAAAATAAATATCAACTGATTATATAACCATGTCTATGGGGATTTCCAGAATGTCAAAAGGGATGGAGCTAATCTAATTTTTGGGGTGTGTCTGTAGGAAGAGATTTTTCCATAAAATGGGCGTGTACTGGTTGTGCTCTTACTTGATCATAGCCTGTTCCCCAGCAGAATGTAGAACTGCCCCACCCCCAACTTCACTGATGAACTACCTCAGACATTAGTAGCACTGAGGGCAATACCCTGTTTTAACATCCAGGTCTGCTGCTGCAGCCTTCTAATAGCTTTCTAATATTTCGGGGAAGTTAAAATGGTTATCTTGTACTCATCTTGTAAATGAGGAACTTACGGTTAAAGAAAACAGGAAAAGAACTATGCCTCTGTCCCCTGAATCACAAGATCTTCAAACTGCAGATAAGCTTCCATTTTCAGACAAAAATAAGCAAGCTATACTTAGAGAATGAACTTTAAAGATAATGCAAAATTCAAGCATAGCCCATGCCTATGTTGTGATAGACAGTATGCCAACTCAAATAATGCTTCTTATTAAAAGTATTAGTATGAATCAGGGAAGGTGGTTCATTAAAAAATACACTTTACATAGCCCACCTGCTCTCTGCCTCCATCCATGGTATGTAAGGTAGTGAATTTGGTAGTGATTGGACTTAAAGTAATTTTATTTAAAATTTACATTCTTCCTCGACAATGAGGATTTTCCTCCAACAGCATTTGAGATACCCCTGAATAATGTTTTTATCTATTTGCTTTTATTGTTTGTTATATTTAAAGTCTTCCCAATTCCAGACAAACCTGGTACAGCTTATGTTTTAAAGGACAAAAAATAACAATAAAAAGAAAAAAAGCATGTGTATTTTGCATCTATTTTTATAGATATTGATCTAAATGGTGAATGATTTTAACCTCAGACTTGGACTAAGGGATGATTTACTGATTGCCCAGTTAAATAGTTTTGGACATGGTGGCAATAATGTATAAGAAAATAAAATACAAGTTTTGGTAAAATATTCAGGCAGAAAATAGAATTGTTCTGTATAAAAAATAATAATTTTAATATTTTAATGTTTAGTTATAGGAATTCAACAGTATGTTATAAGTACAGCATCCAAATTGCAGCTCTCAATAATAGCGCTGGTCTTTGTTTTAATGAAAATTACCACTTTGAGCAAACCTTGTTTCCAAAAGGATCATCCCGGATTGTGTGTCATCAAGTGAATTACTTTGGACAGGAAGTAGATTATTCTTCCATTCAGTGGTATAAGGTACAAATGTTTTAAAATTCCTCCTTTTTTTTTTTTTTAGTGGATATTAAATGAACCTGTCTCTTGCTTTTCCTTTATAATATTAGCACAGTAGCAGGGGAGACACTTTGAAGAAGCAGGTGAAATTATAATTAATTGCCCACTGAATTTAGAGACTAATTCCTTGAATTGCCTCCGCTGCAGTGGTGAAATTCATTTCTTTTTACTACCAGTTCTGTGGATGTGGCTTGGTGGGCGTGACAGGGAAGGATACTGCAAAATCTCCATTCTCTCCCCACTCCTGGGGGGAGGATATTGCAAAATCTCCATTCCCACCCCTCTGGGGCCAGCCAGAGGTGGTATTTGCCGGTTCTCCAAAGTATTCAAAATTTCCACTACCGGTTCTCTAGAACAGTGTTTCTCAACCTTGGCAACTTGAAGTCCTGTGGACTTCAACTCCCAGAATTCC